TCTGCGAAACTATAAAAGTGAAAATCATGAAACTTAGCACTTTGAGAGAAATTACCAATAGTGGGCGTGGCACTGCCCACAAAAAGTTTATCCTGAAAGCTGTATATCTGCGAAACTATAATAGTTAGAATCATGAAACTTTGCACCTTGACCCAAGTGGAAATAGCATATTATGAATATAGGGTGTCAATATGTTTTATTTTGACCTTTTTATCGCGGTCGCTCAGACATACAAATATATTTTAGTGATATTAAAATTATACAAAATAAACTTAAATTTAAAACATAATTTTTTCTTTCCGTGTATAATATAAATGTTTTTCGGTCACTTTCAGTGCAGAATTTCTTAAGATTATTAATAAAACAGATCTTATTGATCACTATAAGTTCTTAAAAGTTTCAGGAGTTCTCTATTTTAGAATTAAACAATATTTGATTAATGTTTTTCTCAAAGTTAATTCTTTAACTTGTTTAGTTTTAGTAAATAAACAAAATAACATGTTGCAATTTTCAATATTTCAACACAAACACTATGCACGCCCACTGTCTCTAAAAGAGAAATGATGTAAATTTATTCATTATTTTGCCATTTTTTGAATTTCCACGAATAGTTTTAAAATTTTATATTTAAATTGTTGGAATTTTATTATAAACAATTCAATTAAAACTACATTATTTCAGATGTATGTACTACATTGAATTGAAACAGAATTTCACCACTTGTTTTTAAATAAAAACATAAATTTAATTTTGGTTAAAAACAGACATCTATTAAAAATTTTTCGTTCTTTTTTTTTCTTTTAAGTAATAAACATAAATAAAAAAATGCCAAACAAAATATTTTGTTTCTTTAGTTCTATACATTATGTTTTTATTTTTATTATATATATATTTTTTTTTAATTTATTTTTGCAATTTAGCTATTTTTAAAAACCGTTTCATGTTGTAGAAAAACAAGAGATTTTCCACGCATCTACAAGATTTTTTATTTATATTTTAAATGTTTTCTTCAGCAAAGACTCTGGCACTAATAATTTGTTTCTTTTTTGTCTTTTTTTTTCATTTAATTTGTTGTTTTATTTAAAATGTATTTCCTTTTCTTTTCAAAATACAAATTAATTATACAAAATACAGCCAAAGTTGCGTTGTCGTTTTTATTTTATTTTCACATTGTGTTAAAAAGTTTATTATGTAATAAAAATAAAACAAATTAAAAAAAAAATATTACAAATTTTGTAAAAGTTTTTTTTTAAGAATAATAATAATATACACAAAATTTTGTTTAAAAAAGTAATCAATTTTTCATTTGTTTATTTAATTTAAACTAGAAAAACAGAAAAAGAATATAAAACAGACAGACAGACAGACAGACTGTTTAATATAGATCAATCAGTTATTTTCCTTACTCTGGCCTCTTGACCCATATAAAACTTAAACATTTTCAATTTTTAATTTCATTCATTTAACACTTTATAAATCTTTAAAAATAATAAATAATAAACACCAACCACAAATAAAATTTTCTATATACTTTTGATTTTTTAAATAAATTTCATTTTTATTTCAAAATACTTTCAATTTTTGTTTTATTTTCTTTTCAAATTTTAAAATAAATTATATTTTATTTTATTATTTTAAATTATAAATTTATATTATATATTCGTTTGCTTTATACTCGTTAATAAGAAATTTCGAAATTTGTTTCTATTTTTTTTTTTTTAATAATTTTTAAAAATTATTATTCAAATTCATTAAATTTTAGCACACGGACAACGGTTAGTTCTTCAGTAGGCGATCGTCAAAGTTAAACTGTCGTTAATAGCTGTTCGCTGCTGCTCACATTTGAGCACCCACTAAATTATCAACAACAATTTTGTGAAAATTTTCTTTTATTTCTCTTGGCGCAGCTAAATTTTATGAAAATTTTATGCGCATTTTACAAAATTTTCTCAAAATTTTGTCTACAAGCACCAAAATTGTTTGTATATTCTTCTTATTTATTACTGTTTCTAAACAAAATGTCCATTGTCTATGTCCCATGTCTTGTATACACTACATATAGAAAGCTATACATTTGAGAGTTCTGCCTAGTGGGTTTTTAAATTAATACGTTTGTTGTTACCAGGGCCAAAAAGCGTCAGAGGGAGAATATTTGGTTTGTTTGGATAATATTTTGGAAATATTTTCTTTTTGTTACAAAATTTAGTTTTTATTGTATTGCTGTAATTTTAAATGTAAACAATATTATAGGGGAAATTAAAAAATATCCATTATAATTTTATTAGCTGTCGGGTGCTATGTATTTTTGAACAATTTTGATAGGATTATATAAACAAAATTTAATTTATATTCGAGAACATATAGCACACTGCACTCGTAGTGCCCACCCAAATTTGTATTTCTAGAAACATTTGTGAAGAAGTTACTCCCCTAAAAGTACACAACAACACAATAAGGGTCTTTTAAAAACGGCTTCTTTAAGCACAAAAAATTTAATTTTAAGCCTTTTCGGAATAAAATTTCAGTTCTACTTCAATTCTAAATTCAGTTCTAGTTCAGTTTTAGTTCAGTTCTAGTTCTAGTTCAGTTCTAGTTCAGTTCTAGTTCAGTTCTAGTTCTAGTTCAGTTCTAGTTCAGTTCTAGTTCAGTTCTAGTTCAGTTCTAGTTCAGTTCTAGTTCAGTTCTAGTTCAGTTCTAGTTCAGTTCTAGTTCAGTTCTAGTTCAGTTCTAGTTCAGTTCTAGTTCAGTTCTAGTTCAGTTCTAGTTCAGTTCTAGTTCAGTTCTAGTTCAGTTCTAGTTCAGTTCTAGTTCAGTTCTAGTTCAGTTCTAGTTCAGTTCTAGTTCAGTTCTAGTTCAGTTCTAGTTCAGTTCTAGTTCAGTTCTAGTTCAGTTCTAGTTCAGTTCTAGTTCAGTTCTAGTTCAGTTCTAGTTCAGTTCTAGTTCAGTTCTAGTTCAGTTCTAGTTCAGTTCTAGTTCAGTTCTAGTTCAGTTCTAGTTCAGTTCTAGTTCAGTTCTAGTTCAGTTCTAGTTCAGTTCTAGTTCAGTTCTAGTTCAGTTCTAGTTCAGTTCTAGTTCAGTTCTAGTTCAGTTCTAGTTCAGTTCTAGTTCAGTTCTAGTTCAGTTCTAGTTCAGTTCTAGTTCAGTTCTAGTTCAGTTCTAGTTCTAGTTCAGTTCCAGTTCAGTTCTAGTTCAGTTCTAGTTCAGTTCTAGTTCTGTTCTAGTTCTGTTCTAGTTCTGTTCTAGTTCTGTTCTAGTTCTGTTCTAGTTCTGTTCTAGTTCTGTTCTAGTTCTGTTCTAGTTCTGTTCTAGTTCTGTTCTAGTTCTGTTCTAGTTCTGTTCTAGTTCTGTTCTAGTTCTGTTCTAGTTCTGTTCTAGTTCTGTTCTAGTTCTGTTCTAGTTCTGTTCTGTTCTAGTTCTGTTCTAGTTCTGTTCTAGTTCTGTTCTAGTTCTGTTCTAGTTCTGTTCTAGTTCTGTTCTAGTTCTGTTCTAGTTCTGTTCTAGTTCTGTTCTAGTTCTGTTCTAGTTCTGTTCTAGTTCTGTTCTAGTTCTGTTCTAGTTCTGTTCTAGTTCTGTTCTAGTTCTGTTCTAGTTCTGTTCTAGTTCTGTTCTAGTTCTGTTCTAGTTCTGTTCTAGTTCTGTTCTAGTTCTGTTCTAGTTCTGTTCTAGTTCTGTTCTAGTTCTGTTCTAGTTCTGTTCTAGTTCTGTTCTAGTTCTGTTCTAGTTCTGTTCTAGTTCTGTTCTAGTTCTGTTCTAGTTCTGTTCTAGTTCTGTTCTAGTTCTGTTCTAGTTCTGTTCTAGTTCTGTTCTAGTTCTGTTCTAGTTCTGTTCTAGTTCTGTTCTAGTTCTGTTCTAGTTCTGTTCTAGTTCTGTTCTAGTTCTAGTTCTGTTCAAGTTCTGTTCTAGTTTTAGTTCTAGTTCTAGTTCTGTTCTGTTCTGTTCTGTTTGTTCTAGTTCTGTTCTAGTTCTGTTCTAGTTCTGTTCTAGTTCTGTTCTAGTTCTGTTCTAGTTCTGTTCTAGTTCTGTTCTAGTTCTGTTCTAATTCTGTTCTAGTGTTGCACTAGTTCTGTTCTAGATCTGTTCTTGTTCTGCTCTAGTTCTGTTCTAGTTCTGTTCTAGTTCTGTTCTAGTTCTGTTCTAGTTCTGTTCTAGTTCTGTTCTAGTTCTGTTCTAGTTCTGTTCTAGTTCTGTTCTAGTTCTGTTCTAGTTCTGTTTAGTTCTGTTCTAGTTCTGTTCTAGTTCTGTTCTAGTTCTGTTCTAGTTCTGTTCTAGTTCTGTTCTAGTTCTGTTCTAGTTCTGTTCTAGTTCTGTTCTAGTTCTGTTCTAGTTCTGTTCTAGTTCTGTTCTAGTTCTGTTCTAGTTCTGTTCTAGTTCTGTTCTAGATCTGTTCAAATCACGAAAAAAATCATGGTTAAACAAACATATCCCTAAAGGGTTAATTTCCCATATGCAAATACAATATGTATTCTTAAACTGACTCAATATTTTGTTGGCATAGTTTCAACTAATAAATTTTCAAAAATTTCATCTGTGTGATATTTTTTTCGCAACAAAAACTTAAATTTTCATTTCAATATGGCAAACAACAAAAGCGAACAACGGATGACAATACAAAAAAATGTACTCCGTCATCAATCTTATTATAAATTTAAGGTCTTTCATTACCGAGTTGCGTATGATTAAAACTATTTCAAATTAGAACTACAGATATAGCGGTAAGAGAATTTTTTGAATTATTAAAAGGCAATAAATTTAAATAAATGATAATATTGGCGGTTAAAAATATATCCTAAAAATATATATTTAAATATAAAGTGGTTAACAGAAAGGCAGGTGCTTTTTGGGCTGCTTTCTTTTTGAACTTTAATAAAGGTGACATCATCAAATTGACGTCATAACGGAACGTGTGACAATGTTGATAAATAATGTATCAAATAATGTCCAAACCATATACATATAAATTCAAATTAAAGTTTATTTGATGATAATTTTCTAAAACTTACCATTCAAATTCTAGGGGTAAAATATCAGCATCATCTTCTTCTGTATCGATTTTGACAAAAAATGTTGCTCTTTCGTTTGGCATACATCGTATTAATGAACTCGAATTTTCGCTAAAGGATATTTTTGGAGGCTTGTGATTACTTTGTTTGTGCTCATCACCTCCCAAAGGAAAATTACGGGAATCTAAACCGAAAGAAATAAAAAAATTACTTAGTTGTTGTACTATAACAGAATTTATTTTAAAATGTTATTACATAAAAAGGTAAATTGCAATTATATCTGATATAATATTTCCTCAAATTTTTGTTTGTAATAAATTTCATTAAAGTGAACGTAAGTTAAAGAAACAGATGGTCTACTAACAACTAGTATACTAGTTCTAGTTCAGTTCTAGTTCAGTTCCAGTTCAGTTCAGTTCTAGTTCAGCTCTAGTTCAGTTCAGTTCTAGTTCAGCTCTAGTTCAGTTCTAGTACAGTTCTAGTTCAGTTCTAGTTCAGTTCTAGTTCAGTTCTAGTTCAGTTCTAGTACAGTTCTAGTTCAGTTCTAGTTCAGCTCTAGTTCAGTTCTAGTACAGTTCTAGTTCAGTTCTAGTTTCAGTTCTAGTTCAGTTCTAGTTCAGTTCTAGTACAGTTCTAGTTCAGTTCTAGTTCAGTTTCTAGTTCAGTTCTAGTTCAGTTCTAGTTCAGTTCTAGTTCAGTTCTAGTTCAGTTCTAGTTCTAGTTCTAGTTCAGTTCTAGTTTCAGTTCTAGTTCAGTTCTAGTTCAGTTCTAGTTCAGTTCTAGTTCAGTTCTAGTTCAGTTCTAGTTCAGTTCTAGTTCAGTTCTAGTTCAGTTCTAGTTCAGTTCTAGTTCAGTTCTAGTTCAGTTCTAGTTCAGTTCTAGTTCAGTTCTAGTTCAGTTCTAGTTCAGTTCTAGTTCAGTTCTAGTTCAGTTCTAGTTCAGTTCTAGTTCAGTTCTAGTTCAGTTCTAGTTCAGTTCTAGTTCAGTTCTAGTTCAGTTCTAGTTCAGTTCTAGTTCAGTTTCTAGTTCAGTTCTAGTTCAGTTCTAGTTCAGTTCTAGTTCAGTTCTAGTTCAGTTCTAGTTCAGTTCTAGTTCAGTTAGTTCAGTTCTAGTTCAGTTCTAGTTCAGTTCTAGTTCAGTTCTAGTTCAGTTCTAGTTCAGTTCTAGTTCAGTTCTAGTTCAGTCTAGTTCAGTTCTAGTTCAGTTCTAGTTCAGTTCTAGTGCATTCTAGTTCAGTTCTAGTTCAGTTCTAGTTCAGTTCTAGTTCAGTTCTAGTTTCAGTTCTAGTTCAGTTCTAGTTCAGTTCTAGTTCAGTTCTAGTTCGTTCTAGTTCAGTTCTAGTTCAGTTCTAGTTCAGTTCTAGTTCAGTTCGAGTTCCGTTCTAGTTCAGTTCTAGTTACAGTTCTAGTTCATTCTAGTTCGTTTCTAGTTCAGTTCTAGTTCAGTTCTAGTTCAGTTCTAGTTCAGTTCTAGTTCAGTTCTAGTTCAGTTCTAGTTCAGTTCTAGTTCAGTTCTAGTTCAGTTCTAGTTTCAGTTCTAGTTCAGTTCTAGTTCAGTTCTAGTTCAGTTCTAGTTCAGTTCTAGTTCAGTTCTAGTTCAGTTCTAGTTCAGTTCTAGTTCAGTTCAGTTCTAGTTCAGTTCTAGTTCAGTTCTAGTTCAGTTCTAGTTCAGTTCTAGTTCAGTTCTAGTTCAGTTCTACTTCATTTCTAGTTCTGAAATTTTTGTCAAAACCCTAAGAATAATAAATTTTAATAAAAATAAAAATATCTACCACAATACTGCTAACTTAAGTATGTCATAAAGTTATCCAAAATGACAACCATCAAATAAAAATGTCATATTCATTCATATTTAATTCATCGACATTTTATTCCACTCTAATGAAACAAAAAGGAAATAAAACTTTTTCACACTAATTAATATCTTTAAAATTATTTTGAATAATTTTGTCTATATATTGTGTATGACGTGAAATATTTTGAGTTATTTTAATACAACGAGACATTTTGTAAAAAATGACTTTTAAATGTCAACGTGCTGCTGCTACTCTATGTCGTCGGCGCACATGTTGTAGACAAACAAATAAATAAATGAAAAAACTCTTATTAGTTTTAGCTGCCGCCTGCCTATCACTTAATTTTAGTTAAAATATCTGTCACTTATTTATAATCTGTCTACTAATATGACAGTTGTTATTAATTATTGGGGTTTTTACCACAATAAAAATGGAAGGGAACCTTTAGTTCTAGTAATATTCCTTAGGATCGGGAGTGTAAGTAACGATTAAGGTGTTTTTAAATAGAATTAAAATAAACGTTAAAAAAGCAGTTTCTAGATTATATTTATATTTTAACTTAATTATATATAAGAATTTAATAGACCGATTATTAAACATATTAATTTTATATTTTTTAACATTGAATGGTAACGCTATTTTTTTGTTTTCAAATATGTTCAACATTTTTTAAATATTTTTGTTAATTCTTTTTTTTTTTTTTTTTTTTGTTCAATTGGACCACAGCCAAAATAATCAATTTGTTAGAATCATGTTAAATAAAAAATGCATTTTTTAATATTAAAAATTAAATGATGGTCAAACATCGAAAATAACGAGGTGTTATGATAACAAATTCTTTTTAGCTAATGTTGAAGGAAATACAGTTCTTTCATCTGAACTTGAGCTCTACACTTTCAACTAACTGTGGACTATATATTGCTATAGAAACTGAACTATATATTGTTCTATAACAACAACAGATAATCTGAACTATAGTCTAGCCTGTAGGCTCTATATTCTGAACTATAAACTGCCCTATAGTCTTCATTAGAGACTGCTCTATAGTTTAAACTATAGACTGCTCTACAATCTGGCCTATAGAGTGCTCTATGGTTTGTACTATAGAGTGCTCTATAATCTGGACTGTAGACTGCAGTATAGTCTGCACTATAGACTACTCTATAGTCTGCACTATAGTCTACTCTATAGTCTGGACTATAGACTACTCTATAGTCTGGACAATAAACTACTCTATAGTCTGGACTATAGACTACTCTATAGTCTGGACTATAGACTACTCTATGGTCTGAACTATAGACTACTCTATAGTCTGGACTATAGACTACTATATTGTTTGGACTATAGACTACTCTATAGTCTGGACTATAGACTACTCTATCGTCTGGACTATAGACTACTCTATAGTTTGGACTATAGACTACTCTATTGTTTGGACTATAGACTACTCTATAGTCTGGACTATAGACTACTCTATAGTCTGGACTATAGACTACTCTATAGTCTGGACTATAGACTACTCTGTAGTCTGGACTATAGACTACTCTATGGTCTGAACTATAGACTATTCTATCGTCTGGACTATAGACTACTCTATCGTCTGGACTATAGACTACTCTATAGTCTGGACTATAGACTACTCTATAGTTTGGACTATAGACTACTCTATAGTCTGCACTATAGTCTACTCTATAGTCTGGACTATAGACTACTCTATAGTCTGGACAATAAATTACTCTATAGTCTGGACTATAGACTACTCTATGGTCTGAACTATAGACTACTCTATAGTCTGGACTATAGACTACTCTATTGTTTGGACTATAGACTACTCTATAGTCTGGACTATAGACTACTCTATAGTCTGGACTATAGACTACTCTATAGTCTGGACTATAGACTACTCTATAGTCTGGACAATAGACTACTCTATAGTCTGGACTATAGACTACTCTGTAGTCTGGACTATAGACTACTCTATGGTCTGAACTATAGACTGTTCTATCGTCTGGACTATAGACTACTCTATCGTCTGGACTATAGACTACTCTATCGTCTGGACTATAGACTACTCTATAGTTTGTACTATAGACTACTCTATAGTCTGCACTATAGTCTACTCTATAGTCTGGACTATAGACTACTCTATAGTCTGGACAATAAACTACTCTATAGTCTGGACTATAGACTACTCTATAGTCTGGACTATAGACTACTCTATGGTCTGAACTATAGACTACTCTATCGTCTGGACTATAGACTACTATAGACTATACTCTATAGTATGGACTATAGACTACTCTATAGTCTGGACTATAGACTACTTTATAGTCTGGACTATAGACTACTCTATAGTATGGTCTATACACTACTCTATAGCCTCGACTATAGACTACTGTATAGTCTGGACTATAGACCACTCTATAGTCTGCACTATAGACTACTCTATAGTCTGGACTATAGGCTACTCTATAGTCTGGACTATAGACTACTCTATAGTCTGGACTATAGGCTACTCTATAGTCTGGACTATAGACTACTCTATAGTCTGGACTATAGACTACTCTATAGTCTGGACAATAGACTGCTCTATAGTCTGGACAATAGACTGCTCTATAGTCTGAACTATAGACTGATCTATAGTCTGAACTATAGACTGCTCTATAGTCTGAACTATAGACTGCCATATAATCTGGACTCTAGACTTCTCTAATCTAAATGGAGATTTCGATCGATATTGTATGCCATAATTTGGGCCCTGGACTGCTCTATAGTCTGGACTCTAGACTGCCATATAGTCTGGACTATAGACTACTCTATAGTCTGGACTATTGACTACTCTATAGTCTGGACTGTAGACTACCCTATAGTCTGGACTATAGACTACTCTATAGTCTGGACTATAGACAGCTCTATAGTCTGGACTATATACTGCTCAATGGTCTGGACTATAGACAGCTCTATAGTCTGAACTTATAGACTGCTCTATAGTCTCGACTATAAACAGCTCTATACTCTGTACTATAGACTGCTCTATAGTCTGGTTTACAGACTGCTCTATAGTCTGTACTAAAGACTGATCAATATTCTGGACTATGGACTGCTCTATAGGTGGGACTATAGGCCGCTATCTGAACTATATAATTCATTTAAATTAAACACTGTTTCCGCTATCTGAACTATATACTTCATTCAAAATCAAACACTGTTTCCGGCAAAAAAAAAAACAAAAAACCGGAAATCAGTTTTATTATTATAACAAGCAGTTATAAACAAAAGTTGTATATTTTATATACATATGTTATTCAATTATAAACTTCCTAAAATTTCAGCAAAAAAAAAAAATAACAACAAATAATTCAATTTTCTTACTCTTCTGGAATGTCTGACGTTAAAATATTCCCGTCTGCCTTTAAAATAGAAATTCAAGACAAAATTTGTTTTCAAAAAAAAAAAACAACAAAACGACAAAATTTTGTTGGCACCCCACAATGTTTATGGCTAGAACTAGGATCATACATTAAAAAAAAAGTACACTGAACGAAAAAGTTTGTTGTTGGCAATAAGTTAAGTATTACAAACATACACGGCGTATGACAGTGTTTGTATAGAAAAACATCTAAAAAGCCCATAAAGTTTTTTTTATTATTTTTAATTTTGGGCCATCATTATATAGTTCAAAAGTGGAATGAACTTTTTTTAATGTTTAAAAATATCTTTAAAAAATATGTGTATATTTACAAACATATAGTAAAAAAATATGTATTTATTGAAAACAAATGCATATGTTTTCAAATGTGCACATATTGTTAGTGTGTAAATATTCGAATATATAGGATTTGAATATTTTTATTAAAAGATATAAATGACATGTTTGAAATAGCCGGCATATTTCTAAATTAATTAATATTATAAGAGACAATTTTGTTTTTAATAAAAATAATTGAAAACAAATTGAAAACACAACTATGACCGATAAACTATTCGTTAATCTGGACTATAGACTACTCTATAGTCTGAACTATAAACAACTTTATAGTCTGAACTATAGACAACTGTATAGTCTGGACTATAGACAACTCTATAGTCTGGACTATAGACAACTCTATAGTCTGGACTATAGACAACTCCATAGTTTGGACTATAGACAACTCTATAGTCTGGACTATAGGCAACTCTATAGTCTGGACTATAGGCAACTCTATAGTCTGGACTAAAGGCAACTCTATAGTCTGGCCTATAGGCAACTCTATAGTCTGGACTATACGTAACTCTATAGTCTGGACTATAGACCACTCTATAGTCTGGACTATAGACCACTCTATAGTCTGGACTATAGACCACTCTATAGTCTGGACTATAGACCACTCTATAGTCTGGACTATAGACCACTCTATAGTCTGGACTATAGACAACTCTATAGTCTGGACTATAGACAACTCTATAGTCTTGACTATAGATCACTCTATAGTCTGGACTATAGACAACTCTATAGTCTGAACTATAGACAACTGTATAGTCGGACTATAGAGAACTCTATAGTCTGGACTATAGACAACTCTATAGTCTGGTCTATAGACAACTCTATAGTCTGGTCTATAGACAACTCTACAGTCTGGACTATAGACAACTCTATAGTCTAGACTGTATGCAACTCTATAGTCTAGACTTTAGACAACACTATAGTCTAGACTTTAGACAACTCTATAGTCTGGACTATAGAGAACTCTATAGTCTGGACTATAGAGAACACTATAGTCTGGACTATAGAGAACACTATAGTCTGGACTATAGACAACTCTATAGTCTGGACTATAGACAACTCTTTAGTCTGGACTATAGACAACTCTTTAGTCTGGACTATAGACAACTCTATAGTCTGGACTATAGACAACTCTATAGTCTGGACTATAGACAACTCTATAGTCTGGACTATAGACAACTCTACAGTCTTGACAATAGACAACTCTATAGTCTGGGTTATAGATAACCCTATAGTTTGGACTATAGATAACTCTAGTCTGGACTATAGACAACTCTATAGTCTGGACTATAGGTAACTCTATAGTCTGGACTATAGACAACTCTATAGTCTTGACAATAGACAACTCTATAGTCTGGACAATAGACAACCCTTTAGTCTGGGTTATAGACAATCCTATAGTTTGGACTATAGATAACTCTAGTCTGGACTATAGACAACTCGATAGTCTGGACTATAGACCACTCTATAGTCTGGACTATAGACAACTCTATAGTCTGCACTATAGACAACTCTATAGTCTAGACTGTATGCAATTCTATAGTCTAGACTATAGACAACTCTATAGTCTAGACTTTAGACAACTCTATAGTCTGGACTATAGAGAACTCTATAGTCTGGACTAAAGAGAACACTATAGTCTGGACTATAGACAACTCTATAGTCTGGACTATAGACAACTCTATAGATTGGACTATAGACAACTCTATAGTCTGGTCTATAAACAACTCTATAGTCTGGACTATAGTCAACTCTATAGTCTGGACTATAGTCAACTCTATAGTCTGGAATATAGACAACTCTACAGTCTTGACTATGGACAAATCTATAGTCTGGACAATAGACAACCCTATAGTCTGGGTTATAAACAACCCTATAGTTTGGACTATAGATAACTCTAGTCTGGACTATAGACAACTTTATAGTCTGGACTACAGACAACTCTATACCCTGGACTATAGACAACTCCAAAGTTTGAAATATAGACGTTGCAGACTATAGCATATATACAACTCTATAATCTGGACAATAGAAGACTCTATTGTGCGGAAAGTCAGCATCCACAATAAAAATCTATTTTCTCCGATCGATCGAAAAGTGTAAAACACAAAAATAATTTTAAAAATTTTCACTTACATAATAATTATTTTCTTTCAAAAATAAACAAACAAAGAATATTAAAAACATTTAACAAACCTGCTGGATTATCGCTTGTAGTCGTCGTATCAGCCTTAACCTTTGTATCCGACTCATTGTCTGAGGGATTTGCAGAGGAAGGAGATTTTAAGGGATTTACATTTGTATTCTCCATAGGTAACAATTTGCATACAAATATAACACAACATTAACAAATGATCAACACATAAAACACTTTCGAATTTTCGATTTTTTTTTTTTTTATTATTATTATTTTTGTGAATTTATTAATATTTTTTAATGTATTCCAATTTCTTTAATATTTTCAATACTTTTTTTCACAAAATACAGGACACAATTGATTTGTATTAAGAGAACAAAATTTTGTTTTAAAAATACTGCATTTAAGAAAAATATATATTTTGGTTTATACAAATATTTTGTTTTAATATTTATGAACACTTCAAGACATTTGTATATGCATGGTGTGTATGTATGAAGATATATACATACATACATACATATGTACGTATATTTTGTATATATATTTAGATTTAGAAGAAAATCTCAAAAGAATACTAAAGATGATAATATAATTACACCATTTCCAAATACTATACGACTAAAAATCAGTGAATAATTTTAACTACAGATTAGTCCAAATGAGTCTATAGTTTTGACTATAGACCAGTCTCTAGTCTTGACTATAGACCAGTCTCTAGTCTTGACTATAGACCAGTCTCTAGTCTTGACTATAGATCAGTCTATAGTCTTGACTATAGATCAGTCTATAGTCTTGACTATAGATCAGTCTATAGTCTTGACTATAGATCAGTCTATAGTCTTGACTATAAATCAGTCTATAGTCTTGACTATAAATCAGTCTATAGTCTTGACTATAAATCAGTCTATACAATTGATTATAGATCAGTCTATAGTCTTCACTAGAGATCAGTCTATAATCTTGACCATAGATCAGTCTATAATCTTGACCATAGATCAGTCTATAGTCTTGACTATAGATCAGTCTATAGTCTTGACGGTAGATCAGTCTATAGTCTTGACCAGAGATTAGTCTATAATCTTGACTATAGATCAGTCTATAATCTTGAATATAGATCAGTCTATAGTCTTGACTATAGATCAGTCTATAGTCTTGACTATAGATCAGTCTATAGTCTTGACCATAGATCAGTCTATAGTCTTGACTATAGATCAGTCTATTGTCTTGACTATAGATCAATCTATAGTCTTGACTGTAGATCAGTCTATAGTCTTCACTATAGATCAGTCTATAGTCTTGACTATAGATCAGTCTATAGTCTTGACTATAGATCAGTCTATAGTCTTGACTATAGATCAGTCTATAGTCTTGACTATAGATCAGTCTGTAGTCTTGACTATAGATCAGTCTGTAGTCTTGACTATAGATCAGTCTATAGTTTTGACTATAGATCAGTCTATAGTCTTGACTATAGATCAGTCTATAGTGTTGACTATAGATCAGTTTATAGTCTTGACTATAGATCAGACTATAGTCTTGACTATAGATCAGTCTATAGTCTTGACTGTAGATCTGTCTATAGTCTTGACTATAGATCAGTCTATAGTCTTGACTATAGATCAGTCTATAGTCTTGACTATAGATCAGTCTTTAACCTTGCCTATAGGTCTGAAGTCTTGATTATAGATCAGTTTATAGTATCTATAGTCTTGACTATAGATCAGTCTATAGTCTTGACTATAGATCAGTCTATAGTCTTGACTATAGATCAGTCTATAGTCTTGACTATAGATCAATCTATAGTCTTGACTATAGATCAGTCTATAGTCTTGACTATAGAGCAGTTTATAGTCTTGACTATAGATCAGTCTATAGTCTTGACTATAGATCAGTCTATAGTCTTGACTATAGATCAGTCTATAGTTTTGACTATAGATCAGTCTGTAGTCTTTACTATAGATCAGTCTATAGTTTTGACTATAGATTAGTCTATAGTCTTGACTATAGATTAGTCTATAGTCTTGACTATAGATCAGTTTATAGTCTTGACTATAGATCAGTCTATAGTCTTGACTATAGATCAGTCTATAGTCTTGACTGTAGATCAGTCTATAGTCTTGACTATAGATCAGTCCATAGTCTTGACTATAGATCAGTCTATAGTCTTGACTATAGATCAGTCTTTAACCTTGCCTATAGGTCTGAAGTCTTGATTATAGATCAGTTTATAGTATTGACAATAGATCATTTCAAGTTTTAACTATAGATTAGTCTCTAGTATTGACTATAGATCCGTCGCTAGTATTAACTATAGATCCGTCTTGACTATAAATCAGTCTATACAATTGATTACAGATCAGTCTATAGTCTTGTCTGCAGATCAGTTTATAATTTTGACTAAAGATCAATCAATAGTCTTGACTATAGATCACTCTATAGTCTTGACTTTAGATCACTCTATAGTCTTGGATATAGATCACTCTATATTTTGACTATAGATCAGTCTATAGTCTTGGATATAGGTCTGAAGTCTGAATTATAGATCTTATAGTATTGACTTGACTATAGATTTGTCTTTAGTCTTGGCCATAGATCAGTCTATATCTGTATATAATCTTAACTATAGATCAGTCTTTAATTTTGACTATAGATCTGAAGTCTTAATTCTAAATAAGTTTATAGTATTGACTATAGATCAGTTTCTAGTATTGAGAGTATTGAGATCTTCCCAAATTGTACTCAGGAAAGTTTCACGATTATCGTTGCCAGATTGTTTTAGCAATTGAATTCTTTAGAAGGCGAGATTTTACATTTTGAAAAAAATATTTTAAATTTATGATTTTCAAATGACAACAAAATGGAAATGGTGCTGGAAGAACATCTAGTACACTCATAAAAAAAAAAATAAACTTGCACACATAAAATTTCATATTTAAGGAGGAACACACGCCATCTACAAACGAAGCACTGACTAATTTACACTCACACACACTCACTTACAATATTTTAGTTAGTCTACCGAAGACCGAAGAAAATTCTGTATTTTTATTATTTTTTCCTTAAAATTTTCTTTAATTTTTCTACTTTTTTTTCAAATATACAGTGTGGTGAATGCAAGCATGTAGTACATATATTTTCAGTTGGATTATAATTTATTTTTTTTTTTATTTTCGTTTTCCAATTTTTTTTTGGGGAATTTTATTTTCGGCTTTTTTCAATTTTAGATAATTTCAAAAAATTGCACTTTTTTCGCTTATATTACGAAACCATATTTTTCGCTACATTTAAGTTTAAATTTTTAATAAGTGAAAATTATTTTTAAGTGAAAAATTCAAAAATGAATCACATGAAATTTTTTATAAAAATTTTTATAAATTTGTGTATTTGTATTTTTTTAATAATTTTACCATTTAACACTTCTTTTTTTTCAAAAATATATATTTTTTCTTTTTATATATGTGTATGTATGACCAAAATTTAAATTTATTTTTAGTTATTCGTTAAGTATTCGTACGCGCTCATCCAGCCAATAGTACCTGGATCTTCGTTAGTTTTCCTCAGACTGACTGAAGAATGAGCAGACAAATTTTCTTTAGGCCGGTGAAAAAAATGCGAGCATTTTCTTTTCTTACCCCACCCACCCCACACAAACCCCTCACCAAAAGAAAACCTCAAGAAAAATAGATAAAACAGAACTTTCTTTCGTGTGTTCGGCAAAAATTTTGAGAAAAAAAAACAAGAATTGTGAGTGTAAGAGTTGAGATGTGTGTGTGTGTGTTCTAAAATAGAAATTAATTTATATTTTGGTTAAGAGTGTGATGATCTTCAGCAAGTGTTTTCTTCATTCTTTTTATTCATATTAAAAAAACAACAACAACTAAGAAAAACAAATTATAGGAAAATACGAAACAACAACTTAAAAACAACTTTTTGAAAACTTTTTATTGGTTGCATGTTGCCGCTGATGTCCTCCCTGTAGTTTATCAGTGAATACATTTTGTCTCTCAGTACCTACTTAAGATTTATTTTTATATGTTCTTAATGTGTATGTTTTGTGTACGTTTGGACTTTTGCCTGTTTCCGGGATTTATGAACTACATACCAAGTACATTGCTTAACATTGCAGCCAGCGACTGGGTTAAATTGTTGAAATATATATTGTATAGTATACAAACGTATTGGATTCGATGTGTGATATTTTCGCGCTAATTTTATTTATAGTCTTTTTCTGAGTTTTGTGCGTAAAAATCAGTGACGTTGTAAAATTACTTTAATGAATCAAATTCAATTAAACTAATTTCATTTGTATTTGTTGTGCATTTCTGACGTTTATGGGAAGGGAATTATGGTAAATTGAAGTGATCACATGATCTTGGCTATAAATCAGTCTATAATATAATATTGACTACAGATCATTATATAGTCTAAACTGGAGATCAGTATATAGGTTTGGCTGGAGATAAGTCTATAGTCCTGTTTAAAGATCAATATATAGCCCTAACAGGAGATCAGTCTATAGTCTTTACTACAAATTAGTATAAAATCTTGACTACCATCATGACTATATATAAGTTTCTATTCTTGACTATTGGTAAGTCTATAGACTGAACTATAGATCAGTCCATAGACTTAACTATAGATCATTCTATAGTCTTGACTATAGTCATTCTATAGCCTTGACTATAGTCATTCTATAGCCTTGACTATAGGAATCCGATTGCCTTGATTATAGATCATTCTTTAGCAGATCTTTTTATAGTCTTGAATATAGAATGATCTATAGTTAAGATCATTATATAGTCTTGACTATAGATTATTATATAGTCTTGAATGTAGAATGATCTGCAGTCAAGACTATAGATCATTGTATAGTCTTGACTATCGATCATTCTTTAGTCTTGACTATAGATCATTCTATAATCTTGACTATACATCATTATATAGTCTTTACTATAGATCATTCTATAGTCTTGAATATAGATCATTCTATAGTCTTGACTATAGATCATTCTATAGTCTTGATTATAGACCATTCTAAAGTCTTGACTATAATCATTCTATAGCCTTGACTATTGATCATTCTACAGTCTTTACTATAGATCATTCTATAGTCTTTACTATAGATCATTCCATAGTCTTTACTATAGATCATTCTATAGTCTTGACTATAGATCAGTCTATAGTCTTGACTGTAGATCATTCTTGACTATAGATCACATTATAATCTTGACTGTAGACCATTCTATAGTCTTGACTACAGATCATTCTATATTCTTGACTATAGATCATTCCAAAGTCTTGACTATAGATCATTCCAAAGTCTTCACTATAGATCATTCTATAGTCTTGACTATATATCATTCTATAGCCTTGACTATATAGCATTCTATAGTCTTTACTGCGATAGATCATTCTATAGTATTTACTATAGATCATTATATAGTCTTGACTATAGATCATTCTATAGTCTTAACTATAGATCAATCTTTAGTCTTGACTATAGATCAGTCTATAGTATTGACTATAGATCATTCTATAGTCTTGACTATATATCATTCTATAGCCTTGACTATTGATCATTCTACAGTCCTTACTATAGATCATTCTATAGTCTTTACTATAGATCATTCTATAGTCTTGAATATAGATCAGCCTATAGTCTTGGCTATAGATCAGTCTGTGGTCCTTGCTATAGATCAGTCTATAGTCTTAATTGCAGATCAGTTTAAAGTCTTGACAACAGATCAGTTAATGGTGTTAACTACAGATCTGTTTAAAGTCTTGACTATAGATCATAGACAATAGTCATGCATCGTCGTCATACTGCAATCATGAGCAAAAGTCTACTACGGATGTAGGTATATTGGCTTTCAAGACGGACAATGCATCATTTGATAAGAGATAATGAAGAACAATGTACTCGGGGCTTCAAGCACCACAAGCCACTAAATGGAAATGACAGTTCCGACTTTGAATCCTCAAATGATAACAGCAACTCCATAATACCTAATCGTGGCAAGGATTAATTAAAGAGGAAGCTCAGAGTAGAAAGTTGGAGAAGATTCAACAGAATATCATATTAAGTCAAGCTCATTACACTCAGAAGGCTAAATCAAACTCTATTTTTAAACTCTTCTTAGGTAGAAGCGAGTGTATAGCTATCTTAATATAAAAGGTAAATGTACGAGGAAATCTAAACAGCTGATTGATGCGTAGGTTCTCAAGCTGTCAACCTTCACTATAATATCCTAAAAATGTTCGATTTACTTCAGTGAAGTAAATTTCCCCATCCATTTATAAAATCGTTTCTTGCAAAATTAAAGTTTTCATTTCTAATTCATTTGGTCTAAATTTAGTTTAAATTTAAAGTTATATTTTAAAATATCTTTGTTAATTAATACTTACTTGTGTTTTTTTTTCTTTAAATTGAGACTTTTTCTATGTGTAAATAATACTCTGTATGGATTTATGGATGAAATAATGAATTGAAATGAAATTATGCTGCAATAAAAATACCACCACCAATAGAATTGAACTTGATTTTAAAAAGTCTAAAACAAAAAAGAAAATTAAAAAAATAAATTAAGTAAAAATATAAAAAAATTTGTTTATTTTTATGTTTATTTAAATATATTAATATAAATAAATTGTACAGGCGAATATGCTGATAATGAACCGCAAATATAATCATTATAAGCAACATAATGATGGTAGTAATAACCATTACGGTTTTGTTTAAATAGTAGAAAAGAAAATGGAAAAATATGTTGATGATATATACTCTTTTTAGAGATTTTTCTAAAATGACCGGCTTTTTCACGAACTTTTTTCGCAAGATTTTGCGCATTTTCAGAAAAAAAAATACACACACATTTAAATATATAAATATAATTTTGTTCGTTTCTTTTATACATTGAACGTAAACATTAATTTGTTTATTTTTGCAAATAGTAAATATGTAGTATTATTAAAAAATTTATATATATATTTATACGTTTGTTTAGTTCATTATAAGAGAGTAATAGAGGAAAAAAACACACACATTTACAAAAAAACACATAATATTCACATACACAAACATAAGTACACACTAATAGACTAAATTAAACCCTCAATTACAATTTGTTTTTTAATTAATTAAATACTATAATAATTTGTTTGTTAATATTTAATATTTTTGTTCAAAAAAAATTGATTATTTTACGAAGACAACAATGTTTTTCAAAGAAGAAGAAAATCCCCACATGTAAAGGAAAAAGATAAAAACTCAGAAATATTTAAGAGTTCTTTCGTTCGTTAAGAGTTAGAGGAACAAAAAGATATTTTTAAAACACACTAATTATATAGATCATCAATCATATGACTGTATATAACATAATGTTGTTTTTTTTTGTTTAAAGATTGTTGTTGCTGTTTATGATAAACAGAAGAAAATATAATTTAATAACAACTGAAGAATATATTGCACAGTGAACTCTATATATGTATGTAGAAAGAATAGATTTCTTAAAACAAGAAAAGTTATATTAATATAAGTATATAGGCTTACGGAAGTAACTAATCATGTTTTTGGTAAAGTTCATCATGAATTTTGTTTTTGCTAAAGTGTTGTAGAAAGGCACTTATTTTTACACTGAATAAAAATGGGAATTAAATCTAGTTTTTCCCGAGGGTTTGGTAAAAGGTGAAAACCACGCCAAGGAAAAACGTCCAAACACTGATTGTATAGATTTTAGTCGAGATTTTTTGGCCCATCTGGCCTCCTCTTTCTTAAGTTGTTCAATACCCTAGAATAAGATGAAATAAAAGAATTAAATTGAATTAAAAAAAAAAAAACAACAACAAAACTTACCGTTTGATCATTGAGTATGGCAGTTAATTGAGTGGCCAACATTATTATGGTAAAGATGGCAAACATTAATGCTTCAAATGTTAGAAAAAGTAAGAGAAATATTGTGGCTGGTGGTGAGTAGGGTGAACATTGACGCCATTCATTGCGTACACATTCAGCAAAAGAGGTTAAGACCAAAAATATGGCATGTACTGAGATGGAAGCTATATAGAACTGTGGAAAAAGTAATAACAAATAAATCATATTTTAAAAAATTTTAAATTTTTGTTTTGAAAGCTTTTTAACTATTATCCTAATTTTAAGGATTTTTTAAAAATATTTTTTGGATTTTTTACAATTTTCGAAATTTCGAACTTAAGTTCGAAAATTTTTTAAAACGTTTAAGATAATCTATAATTCATGAGAATGCATAAAAATATAATTTTAATTTTCTTGGACAACATTTTCTCATATTTTTTTCAATTTCGAACTTGAAAATTATTTTAAAATGTTTGGAAATTTTTACATAAATTAAATTCAAATTTATATTTAAACATTTTTGAAAGTTATTTAAATAATTTCTACATCATAAAGATTTTTAAAATAAATTTTCGATTTTTTTTTTTATTATTTTCGAAATTATATATTTCGAAAAAATTTTAAAGCTGTCAAAATATTCTCTAATACATGGGAAGTCATAAAAATATAATTTTATTTTTATGTGACAACATTTTCTCACATATTTTTAAATTTCGAACTTGAAAATTATTTCAAAATTTTCTAAATTGTAAATTTTTTCTTAAATAAAATAAATTCGAAATTATTTTTGAATGATTTTATAGCTTTTTAAATAATTTCCACATCATTACGATTTTTAATTAATTTTAAAAATTTTTATTTAATTTTCGAAATTTTGAACTTAAGTTCGTAAAATTTTTTAAAACTTGTAAAATAATCTCCAATTCATGAGAAATCATAAAATAAAATTATAGTTTTATAGCACAAAAATATTCTCACATTTTCCCTAATTCGAACTAAAAATTTTGAAAATTGTTACAAAATTTTGAAATTTAATTAAATTCAAAATTATATTTAAACATTTTTGGATGCTATTTAAAATTAATTTAATTTTTTAAAATTAATTTTCCTTTTTTTCTAATTTTCGAAATTTCGAATTTAAGTTCAAAAAATGTTTAAATCTTTTAAAATAATAATCCTATAGAAAAAGTTGCTCTAATCTAGACAACTTTTTTAAAGAAAAAGTTGCTCTAGTCTATACAACTTTTCTATAGAAAAAGTTGATCCAGTCAAGACAACTTTTCTATAGAAAAAGTTGCTCTAGTCTATACAACTTTTCTATAGAAAAAGTTGATCCAGTCAAGACAACTTTTCTATAGAAAAAGTTGATCCAGTCAAGACAACTTTTCTATAGAAAAAGTTGATCCAGTCAAGACAACTTTTCTATAGAAAAAGTTGCTCCAGTCTAGACAACTTTTCTATAGAAAAAGTTGCTCCAGACTAGACAACTTTTCTATAGAAAAAGTTGCTCCAGTCTAGACAACTTTTCTATAGAAAAAGTTGCTCCAGTCTAGACAACTTTTCTATAGAAAAAGTTGCTCCAGTATAGACATCCATATCTACAGAAAAAATGGTTCTAGTATTGACATCCATTTCTATGTATTTTAAAAACTACCAAAATGGAAAAGCCAGAAAAAGTTGCTGTACTCTAGACAACTTTTCTGTAGACAAAGTTGCTCCAGTCTACACAACTTTTCTATAGGAAAAGTTGATCCGGTCTAGACAACATTTCTATAGAAAAAGTTGATCCAGTCAAGACAACTTTTCTATAGAAAAAGTTGATCCAGTCTAGACAACTTTTCTATAGAAAAAGTAGCTCCAGTCTAGACAACTTTTCTATAGAAAAAATTGTTCCAGTTGCTATTTACAGAAAAAGTGGCTCTAGTATTGACATCCATTTCTATGTATTTTCAAAACTACCAAAATGGAAAAGCCAGAATGCAATTTTTACATCATGGGAGAAGCCTCTTTTTAATAGTATGTATTTTTAGTTAAAGCACAAATTTTATGTGATTAACTTTAGCAGCAGTTTTAGGTAAATAAAGAATTTTCTAAATTTTCTCCTCATCGATTTTTTCCATTGTCATGTAGTCCATTTGTTAAACATCATTCAAATATAATAAATTTTGCATAATAATCTTTTGCTTCTTCCACTTACCGTAAATAAAACAAAATATTTTTGATTATTTTCGCCCACACAATTATTCACCCATGGACAATGATGATCCATTTTACGTATACAACGCTGACACACTGAACAGTGATGTGCACGTTCTGGTTTAATACTACAACACTTGGGACACTTGAAAATCATTTGTCCCTCACGATAACCCATTTGTTCAATCATTTCCTTGGTAGCATTACCGCGCGGCACAGCACCCTACAATAACAAAGCAAAACAACATAATCAATTACATATTACGCATAATTCTTATCAACGCGCTGACCTCATCTTCATCAATTACAAGACAACTTACCGGATCTGATAACATGGTGCGTATGTGTGAGGCAAAGGCTAAGAAGGCTAATATTTGAAAAATTATTGTGTTCACTGTACTAAATACTGGATGTGGACTGGGTAATAAAATGACGCGCATTACAACAAACTCGGCGAATAGGATTAGCAGCCATGTAAGAACGGCACAGAAAACCCCACAAATATCCTTAACGCACCAGGCGCGGCCAGCGCAACAGCGATTGTGTGGATCTCCAGTTGACATGCTATGCATGGGCGCATACATGACGCTGTTTGTTTTATTTATATTAAATATTTATATTTAACAATTTTTGTTATATTATTTTATAAAGTTGTCGTAGAATAGGTATAAAATTATTAAAAATTTTTTTTTTTTTTTTTTTTTTTTTTTTGTCGATTTTGGGATTACTCCGTGCCCCCTTAAAAAAAAACAAGGGATGGGAGATTTACTTGGCTGGTCCAAAGGGATAAAACGCCACCAACAATTTAAATCTAAAGTTCTCTAAAGTTTAATATTAGCCTCCTTAATAAAGTCCGTAATGAAATGATAATTCTCAATAGGTTCCTTCCTGAAAAATGACGTGGTATTATCATACTGCTCTAATACCGGATACCTCAAGCGGATGTGGTTGTATTTGGTACATTCGAATATGATATGTGAGTCGTCGTCAACTTCATTGCACAGAAGGCAAGTGTCATCATCCAAAACATGTAATCTAGCCAAAGTATGTGGACTGAAGGAATGGCCTGAGAGTATTCTGTTCAACTGTCTTATCTGAATAGCATTCATCCCCAAGGAGTTATGGTTGAACCAAGGTTTCCTAAGGAGACTTGGGAATATTTTTCCGAATTCCCGACCTTTCGTACGACTTAGATCAACATATTCTCTCTCCCACTCATCATGTAGTCTCCTTTCGATCTCCCTTATAGCTTCGTCTTTAGACCATTTTATTTGCAATGTCAGGCCATCTTGAGTGGCCTTTTTAGCTTCTTCATCAACACGTTCGTTCTCGAATATTCCCCTATGCGAAGGGATATAATGAAACTCAACAGTGGAAAGTGTAGGGCTGGAATCTATCAAATCATGAATTCTGGAACATGCCGCATTTGAAACACCGTTTTTCAAGGCCAGAACACCACTTTTGCTGTCAGTAAGTATCGCCAATTTCAGAAAGTTCATCTCCTTTGCAAATTCTACCGCCTTTTCCATTATGTGCAATTCCACCGACATGGATGACACTGTTTTCGACAATTTAAATCTCCTTACAGTGTTAGACCTTGGATGAAAGAAGGCTCCACCAGCTTGGTTCTCCATTATGGAACCATCAGTATATACCAGCTCCAAATTCCTGCTCATGATGTCGTTTTTTTTACTGAGAAATATTTGATTCACCTCCTGAGGATTCAGGTTCGCCTTGTTGCTATGATAGAAGTTTTCATATGTTCGCACTTTTCGGGATTCCACTGTAGAAGTACGTATTTGTTCCACGTCCAAGAGTACATTCTTGAATTTATCAAACATCTTGTAATAACTCGTGTCCAAAGGTTTCTCCAAGGTTGGGAGCAATTTTGCCAAAGGCATTTCCAAATGGAATAGTTTCACCAGATCTTTCCCTGCTGCCAGTTGAATTCTATATTTAGGGGGCAATTCGGCCGCTAGATGATATAAGACATGTACCGGGGTGGATTTCATAAGACCCAGGGCCCTTCTAACGTGGAAATTCGATTGAGTCTGAAATTTAGCCAGGGCTCTTCCGGAAAGGTTCGCAAAAGATGACGCAGCATATTCCAATTGTGATCGGGCATAAACTCTATAAAACTGGATGGCCCTTGCCGGATGTATTCCATAAAGGCAACCACTTGTCGTATTCAAAAACCTGCAAGTCCGGTTTATTTTCGATATTGCCTGCGTCACATGAGATAGTGAAGAATTATTCGCCGAGACTATCCTGCCAAGATATTTGATCTCCTTTACTTCCGTTAACATTCTACCATTGAAATTGAGATTAATTTGAGAACTCCTTCTACCAAATGATGTCACCGTGGTCTTGTCGTAGTTTATATTAAGGTCCAATTGTTCACAATCGTAAATGAATTCACCAAATTTGCGTTCCAGGATGTCTAACGCCTCATCCCAAGTTTCATCAAATGCAAGAATGAAAAAATCGTCCGCAAACTGAAAAATATACGTGTTTTCATCCTCTATGTTGTGAAGTGATGCCGTGTACAAATTGAACAGTATTGGGCTCAAGCCGCTGCCCTGAGCCAGTCCACGATTAGTCTTAGTTTTCGCATCGTGAAGATGAAGTGTACGGTCTTGGAGATATGATGTTAGCCACAGTACCAATTTACGATTAAAACCCATCTCCATCAATTTGGCTCCTAAGGTGTTCACGTTCACATGGTCATACGCTTTTTCTATATCAATACAAATCGCCACTACTTTCCGTTTTTCAGTTCTGAGGTATTGAACTGTATTTATCAAATCGTTAATGCATTGCGTCGTGCTCATATTCTTGCGGAAAGCAAAAGACCTTTCGGGTATGATCTTCCTGGAATTTGCGAATTGCTCCATATGTGGTTTCAACATACCCTCTATGCACTTGAGAAGTACTGGCAGAAGACATATCGGTCTATAATCAGTAATATCCACCGAATCTTCACGTTTAGGGATGGGGTGAACTTTTATATGTCTCCAGATATCAGGAATGTTACCAGAGATCCATATTCTGTTGAGCACTGCAAACAATTTCTTCCTGCCGCTATCCGAAAGATTTAAAAGCATTCTGTAAGTTATTCCATCAGCTCCGCCTGCAGAGTCAGGCTTACGAGAACTTAAAAAATCTTCGAAATCACTCAGATTCAAATTGATATCCTCCATTTGCACTAGTGGGTAATCTGATGGCACAAAGTTACTCGAGTCCGTGCAGGAGGTCATGTTATTCAAAAATTGAGTATTCTGCTGAGAGCTCCAGCTGTTATTCACCTTTTTTACTCGGTCATATTTCTTCAGGTTGTTCATCTGTCTCCACATCTTCTCCTGAGTTTCCGGATTAGACAATTCTTCCTGCAGTTTCCTAAAATGCTCGTGTTTCCTCTTCCTAATATGTTTCTGGAAGTTCTCATCCGCCTCAACAGCTATTATATTATTCTGCCATGATTTGTATCTGTCATTTTTCAGCCTGGCCGCATTTCTGATTCTGAAGAGCTTCTCAGATTCTTTATCCCACCAAGCCTTTGCCTTATAATGGTTTTCCCCATTAAGCGTCACAGTGCATGATTGGATAGCCTCCCTGAACTTACAGTTTATGCTCACAATATCATCTTCAATCTCCATTTTCCCTAGAGTATCAATAAGTTTGTTCCGAATTAGTTTACGCCTACTGCCACTGGGTCTGTTGTCAGGCTTCCATTCAAAGTTTATAGGTTTGTGATTGCTTCCCGTAATCCTTAGATCCAAAGTTCTCCATTGTATTAATCTATTGTTACTCCTGACCAGTGTTAAATCAATTGCAGATTCCCCGGATGGTCCTACAAAAGTCTTGGAGCCGTCATTCAGAACTGTGTAACCATAATTTCGTACTAAATTGTCAAGAGAGGCTCCCCTTCTGTCGGTATTCATATTTCCCCAAGAGGTTGACTTGGCGTTGAAGTCGCCACATACAAATGTAGTCAAGCGCGAATCTTCAAAAAAGGCCATGCTCTTCTCCACAATGTCCCCGAAATGTTTCACATTCACATCCGGTGGGCAGTAAATACCAGTAATATTAAAATTAAATGGAAGATTCAAAGTCGATATTGATATTACCTCACCATCCGTGTCAATTCTATTAATCATGAATCTTATATTCTTCCTCAGGTAAATGCCAACGCCTCCATATCCATCATTCCGAAAATTACCAATAAAGTTGTAGTTCAGTAAATTGGTACTTCTATTATCCTTCAACCAGATCTCATATAATACTGCACATTCAATGTTATTCTTCTCCATATATAATTCAATCAGTTCCTTGTTACCTTTCTTCCCCAAACTCTGTATATTATACTGTAAAAATTTCATAATGTACTAGTAATTCTTTGCAATCGCACCACTTGTGGATGCGATTATTTCATCTCTGTCCTTAGTTATTAGCGCTCTGTCTAAAGCTCTTGCAATTTCACCTACGAATCTTCTGTCATTGCTTGAAAGCGAGTCATCTCCCCATTTACTGAAGAATGAGTTCGCCAAGGTTTTTAATTGGGTAGCCAGTCTTTCCACCTCTGTAACCGAGTGGGGGTTTTCAATATCTCTCTTCTCCTGTAATACTATTTGGTTCTCTCTGTTAAGTTGTCTCCATTGATCCATATCTTTTCTTGCTCTCTCTTCCTCTCTAATCCTGTTGGGGTTTGATTTGGTAACTTTCGCAAATGATTGGTTTCTATGTACGTGTCTCGCTGCTTCAATAGAGTTATCAATGATCTTATCCGGTCTGGTGCGTAATTGAGGGAAATTCACCTCAACACCGTCATCACCTAATATTTCAAATCTGTTTCCACCTATGATACCAGCATATTTAGTTCTAGCCTCTCTGATGCTCAAGTTCTCCAGAATCATAATTCTCTTCAGATTCAACGCTTTCTCCCGAGCCGGACAATTGCGGTCGGTGGGTGGGTGCAAGTTCTTACAATTTGTACAAGTTATCATTC